TGTCTCTGAATTACAATGAATTTCCTGAAAATGAAAACCTACCTCACCACTCACTCCAGGCGCCCAATTATGAATGTTATGAATACTTTCGCAACTTGTCAGCATTGACCGCACTACCATCCATACCTTACATCGCTCAGTCTCAGTAGGATAAATGTTTTAGGTAATTGTTTTAGCAGCCAAATCAAATCGAAAAGGAAAGAAAGAAGAAAAACTGAACAATTTGTGTTAAATTATATTTCATCGGTTTGTCGGCGCGTTCCTTATAAATATGCGGATATCTTAACGCAACTCTTAACACTTGGTTATGGATAAAGCAATCTGTTCAATGCAATCCTTAATGCAAGAAATATGCATACTCTATATATATAGTGTATAGTGTAATAGATCGCCATCGAATGAAATGTTAATGTCTTGTAATTGCATATTTGTCTGATGAAATTACCATTCATGAGGAGTTAATTTACATCACTTAAGTTGTAGTAATCGAAAGAAATGTGTTTTATAAAAAATGAAAGCAAAACATTGGTTAACAAAAATAACCGTAATTGGAAACCATAAATGAATAAATTAATGAATGGCATGACGATCCATTTGCCTGGTTTAATCAACAATAGCAAACAACCGAGAAGTATAACAACATTTTTCTATTCAAGTTTGATTTACATATAAAGCCAGTGGTAGGTATCGGGTAGGCAAAGGATTTCAAATTAATTATAATAATAAAGTTTTCGCATTAGATATTTGCTATAAAGCAAATCAAGACTTTTTGACGGCGCCAGCTGACTATTAAACACTATTAAACACTATTAAGTTCCTTCGTTTAATTCACTTTTTCATGTAATGACTTTCGAAATCAAGGAAATCGCGCTTGGGTCAACACGCATACGCATGCCGCCAAATTGTGATCTTGAGGACAAGAAGACAAGAGGGACCGTAGAATAAATGGACCGACGGACAGACAAAAGCAAATAGATTAAGAAAGAAAATGATGATGTTCCGAGTCTTGCCCACATCTGCACAACACAAACTTGACATGCCATCGTACCGCAAGTGGCGTAAGGTATAAGCACAATTTTTTTAATCGTACGACTATAATCGAGGTACACCCCAGAAACATTTAATTTAAAATATTAAAAAAACAATTGTTGATTATTGTCCTCATTTTCATCAGTTAAGGTTATGGTAATGGTAAGATGTTTTACATGAAATACTTACATGTAAATATACATATATATGCATGAAATATTAAGAAAGATGTCATTTCTAGCCACCGATTCTCTCAAACTTTAAAAGATTAATAAAATTTTGCGATTTTTTAACACTATCAGCTTGAAGAAGCTCTAACGAAGCTGTTTCGCATATATTAAAGCAATTTCACAGGGTGGTAATAAACAAAAGAAGAAGAAGAAGAAGAAACATTTGACAAATGATGGCAATATTTTATAAGACACATATGAAGACGTTTAAAGGTGTTTAGGTTAGGTTTAAGCAATTATTTAAACTATTTTATTATAATTAAGACATCACAACATAATTTCATGCTGCTGCTGCTGCTGTTAAATACTTCAAGGTTGATTTAATTATTTTAATTATATTTCCTAACTATCTAATCTCTCAGAGTAAAATTGGATGAGAATATCTTTGCTGGTGAGATATATTTTTTTTTTCCCAGATATTTTGTCTTTGAATTTTTTTTTTTTTTTTTTTGATGAGGAACGATTTGATTAAATTGAAAGCAAATTTATACCACTTATATCTGGCATTATCTTTTTTTTTTAAATCGAAAAAGAACAAAAAAAAAAATTCTTTCTTCTTAATTCTCACATTTTTCACGTCTGTATTTTATTTTATTTTCTTTTCTTTTAAAAATTACGTAATGACTATTAAAAATGGGCAGAATAAATTAATCAATGTTTTTAGAACAAATGATTTAATTAAAAAAAACTTTCTTTTTTGTATTGCATTTGTTGTTCGTTAAGTAAGCGCAGACAAAACTAAATGGCAAGGTGATCCAATAAACTTGTTCGAAATTCAAACTGAATTCAAAGAAAGAATTTGGAAGAATGCAAATTATACATAGGCTACATAAATACCTAATGTTGTTATTCTTTTTTGTATATACACATATTATTATATACCATAGCTCCACTCCATCGCATCAAGAATCATCCCCGATACAATTAAATAGAATGGAGAGTATCGATAAAGGAAATGCAAAAAGTCCGCAACAATCTCTTTGTTTGAATTTTGAGCAAAATATTGGACCATCATTATGTCGTCTACCTGTCTTTAGTAAGAGTAAGTCGCAATTATTCTTTTTGTTAAGCTTATGCTCACATATGTTATTCTCTCAACAGATTAAGATCGAATGGGTCCAGCACGTCTTTGAGTACAGTCTTAGTCACTGTCTGGATACAGTGACTATTCGGAGTTTCAACTTATTAATGCTTCGTATCCGGAATACATCCATCGATGTGTCTTTTTTTCTTTTCTTTAATCCATCCATCGTTGATCTTTTAGTCGTAGTTTCTTTTTCACTTAGAAAGCTGAAATTGGGGAAGCACTCTCTTATTCGTGCTCGCAAATAGAAAAAGTCGACTACGCCCACACAAATTTTCATTATTTTAAGTTTCTTTTTTGTTTATTACGGGCATAAGGGAAACAAAGCGGAAGGTTGAAAACTGTTCCATACCTTTTTACACATGAATAAATTGCTTAGAGGAACAAAGAAGCTTTCATTCGTCCTTTGACCGACTTGCAATGTTTTTGCCAATTGAAGTTGATGTCCTCGTTTTTAGGACTGGGAGATAATTTGGAAAGCAAGTCGATACAAACAAACGGTCAGGCGGGTGAATTCAGAATTTGATACTGATCCATAATACATACATTTTGTAGGGTCTGTCATGCAATCATGATACAATGAGTATACCCACCCCACTCCCATCAATCTACTTCCCACAGCGTGCGTCAAGGCACGCCATTAAAGGCCCCACATCACTCTACAGTTATTCATATAAGAACTTTTCAATATACGGCATTATTTGGGCCAAACCGAATCATTTTCAATATCATTTGTCCTTGGTCTAAAATACTTGAACGTACCTCATATCCTTAAAATATTAGTTTGGGGAAAAAGAGATCACATGCGATAACCATGTGCGAAAACGATCGTGGTCAAAGAGCGGTGAAGCACCTCAAACGGCCAGGAAGGTTTTGCTATGCATTTGGTGGGACTGGAAGGGGATTATTTATTATGAGTTGCTTCCATATGGCCAAACGCTAAATTCTGATCTCTAATCTCAACAACTGGACCGTTTGAAGATCGCGATTGGCCAACAGGAGTGGTGTCGTGTTCCACCAGGACAACGCTAGGCCACACACATCTACAGTGACTCGCCAGAAAGGTCGGGAGCTTGGTTGGGAAGTTTTAATGCATCCGCCATACAGTCCGGACTTGGCACCAAGCGATTATCATCTTTTTCTTGCATTGCAAAATTTCTTTAATGATAAAAAATTGGAACCTAGGGAGGATTGTGAAAATCGACTACTAGAGTTTTTTGCAAATAGAGACCAGGACTTCTATGAGAGAGGCATTTTAAAGTTACCTTTAAAATGGCAACAAATCATACAACAAAACGGTGCATATTTGACCCAAATCGGACAATCCGAAGAATGTTAAATAAAGTCCTGAAGTTCATATAAAAATAATGGATTTCATTTTCCCCAAACTAATATATCAAAAACTTACTGATTTCAGCTATAACATATCAGGTATCAGGGACGGAAAAATGGAAATACAAGCTTAAATCAATTCAGAAAGTGATTCTGATTCTGATCGATATAATAAAAGAAGATAGATCCATCTCTGGTTCTTCCGGGTGTTGCTTACGTCCGGACAAACTTAATATAACCTTGTATTATAGGTAGTGTAGATTATAATAAATATTTATATGTTAATGTCCTTTATTTAAAAATATTACGTTTATTAATAATTTATAGTTATAATGGTAATATAAATAAAAAATAATTCTTAATAATTTACAAATAAGTAAATAATTATTAACACAGAACATAATACAATATACAATATAATATATTAAAAATAAATAAAGATAAACGCATAGCCTCGCTTTAACAATTATGATAGATAATTATTAATACATACAAAATATATATTTTACAAAGGGTAAGTAATCTCCTACGTCATGATGTAATCGAAAAGAGAAAATTTCGAAACTAATGGAAGCATTATGCTGAGGCATTCTTTCGCAAAACTGACGAAAGACTAGAAGTTCTTGAAAAATATCAAATCATTCGAGAAGACCAAGTGCTACGTATTAATATTAAGCCTTCAAAGTAACCTCATCAGTACGGACTGATTAGTAAACGTGAGAGATTTTAATTTACCATAGTCGGAAAATGTACACATTTATGCCTAGAATAGGTAAGTAAAAGATGAGTCTGAAAAATTTCACATGTTACGCGTACTAATCGAAAGTTTATCAGGATGTGATGAAAACGATTAAGTCATAGAATCTTTTATTCAAGAAGAAAGTTCTCCCTTACGCAATTATAGCTTAATGAGTGAGAATGAAACGATATGAAAATAAATAATTTTCAGACTTTAGACTATGTATGTATGTGGCGTGTGTGAGAGTACGCGTAAGCGTGCATTCAAGAGTTGAGTAAGGCAGTCAGGAAATGCTTGATGAAAGCTCGATGAATTGTAGCAAAGAACTAATTACTTGTTGTTCTTCATTAATTGGATACATACATGTATATATATATATATATGTGGGCCATTGGATAAGTACTTGAAAGATATGAGAGTAAAGTACAATTAAAATGGGTTTCTTTTAAAAACTGGACACCCTCTCTCTCTCTCTCTCTCTATCTATCTCTATCTTTCTCTGTCTGTCTTCGTCTCTCTCTCTCTCTCTCTCCGTCTCTCTATATATCGAGATAATAAAAGCATTATATAAATTACATGAAATGAATTATTTATTTTTTATCGTGCCGTATAATAAGACTTTAGAATTTATATCCTTACAACCGGTGCGAGTAACATCGACCGTTCCAATAATGTCGTCGATATCGTTTGGCGTCAAGGTGATCTTCTCGCAATTCATTTCCCGATAAATGCAATCACGAATTTTAGATTTCGAAAATGATTTGAAATTAATGACATGAGCGACTGGCAACGATTTCGTAAGGAATTCTTGTTGCTCCTTTAAAAGATATTCATCTCCCATCCAATTTAGACTAAAGACATAAAAGATGATAATCCGTTTTTTGCCATTGACAATTTCGGCTATTAAATTATTAACCAAATACACTAAACCGTGGTCGCTTGGTTGTAAATTTTCAATGATTAACAAATTGCAGCCACATTCCGATAAACGTTCGATTAGTACGCGTAACATATGAAATTTTTCTGACTCATCTTTCACTTGCGTATTCCAGGCATAAATGTGTACGTTTTCAGGCCATGGGAAATTAGCGATTAAATGACTTAAGATTAAACTTTTGCCAACACCTGTCGGTCCGACGAACGCTATAGCGTTAAAGTCGTTTTCCGTGCTTAAAGCAATCTCAAGTTGATGCAAAGCCTTGCCTTGATGGAGAATATTTTGTTTTCGTATATTTTTCAATATTTTACGCGAATCGAGCAATGCACGCGAATCACAATAATCCGGTTTATTCGCAACAAAATCAGTATATTGTTTACGATAATTGGTAAACAGGCCTTCCATCAATTCTAAAGCACTTTCACCGTTCGCTGAGATACATTGATAGTAACCCACAAGTACACCTAAGAGTGTTGCGCTTATCATTGTACCAATTAAAAAACATTTAAATTTCGTAACTGATTTGAAATCAAGAGATCTCAGGCTTTCTTTTTCGAAATTCTTTGATTCTTCATTATAGGAATCCATAATTGCATTGAAAATTTCATCTTCGTCGATATCCATTTCTATTGATCTTGTCTTTGATACACTATTATTAATTTGCAAATAAAAAAAATTTTTTTTTTTTTTTCACTTTTTTAATTTATTTGATTATTTGATTACACAAAATTTCCCAAAAATATGAAAATAATTTGAAAACTAATTCAAAGAGAAAAAGAGAAAAAATTTTAATTGAAAAATCAGTGTTGCCATGACTACGAATACTGACTACGGTGTATAGGAGAAGAATTTCATATTTCCATCTCGCATGTTACATATATCTTTCTCATTTTCTTCCCCCCGATAACTATTTACTAAAAATTTTTGTTCTTGTCTTTTACGACAAGTTGACGGAAGGGGTTGCTTCGGTTTTCTTCGCAATTCTTTTGGACGAGAGAGAGAGCGGAAGAGAGGGGGGGAGGGGAAGAGAGAGAGAGGGAGAGAGAGAGGGAGAGAGAGAGAGAGAGAGAGAGAGAGGGAGAGAGAGAGAGAGAGAGAGAGAGAGAGAGCTTATAAATTTAAAGAATATAGTCTCGTATACCCTACACCACATATGGTACAGTGATATATTAAGTTTTTGCGGATGTTTGCCTCATTCAGCAGGACTTGTTATAGGCCAGCCATTTGTTCGCAGTCGCCTTTTTTATCGGTCTAACCTTATCTGGCCCTCCCTCCCTCTGCCCGTCCGTTCGTACAATTTACAAATCGCAGTTTTTGAAATATTTTGATGAAATTCGATATAACGACAGGTCATGACCCTTCTTGTTCCTTTTTAGTGTAGGTGGCTTGTTCTTCTTCCTTTTTGGTGTAGGTTGCTGGTTCTTCTCCTTTTTTGGTGCAGGTTGTTTGTTCTTCTTGCTTTTTGGTGTAGGTTGCTTGTTCTTCTTCCTTTTTGGTATAGGTTGCTTGTTCTTCTTGCTTTTTGGTATAGGTTGTTTGTTCTTGTTCCTTGTTCGGATCGGATCACTTTTTCGATTACTTTTTTTATAATTGCAGTAAGGGAAATGGCTTAAGATATTTAATAGTGGGTAGAGTTTTTAGTTGTTCCGCGTATGAAGCTAGAGCTCATAGGTATATCGAATGCTATGATTTGAATCGAAACAATCGCTTACAAGTTTTAATATTTAGAAAATGTACGAAGAATACTGAACGCATAAGGAAGAAGAAGAAGTCTCGGCTAACTACGGTCATAGTTAACTATTCCCTAAAACTTGATCCCCTATGAAAGATGAGTTAATAAACTTTTTTTCTATGAAGTTATTTAGGGTGGGTTCATGTTAAGCGAGAAGTAACTATTGTGGGAAAATATCTTAAGATGTCATCTTTAAGGAGCTCTTCTTCTTACCCATGTTCTAATGTAAAAGTGAATTTTCTACCAAAATTGAAATCGTTGTTGTGAACAGGATAATATTTACCACACTTGTGTAGGCAGGCAGACTGGCGGACGGACGGACGGAGGGACTTGCTTAAATCAGTTTAGAATTTAAATGCTGATTAAGAATATATATATGTATGTTCTGGGAGCTCTGACATTTCTTTCTGGGCGTTGCGTATGTTCTGAAAAAAACAATCTCCTCGCCCCCCATTCCAAGGAATAATTGTGAATTATATGAACAAGAGGAAGTATTGTAAAATATATGAGCAAAGCCTTTGTGACAGTTCTATGAGCCGTTGCTTAGAATACAATTTTTTTTTTTTTTCTTTGACCACAAAAGACATATATGTATATGTGGGAAAGACTTTGCTCTAATGTTAACATTAACAGAAGATCAGTCTCTGCTCTGGTCTGTTATTAAAAAGTTTAATGTTGAATACATTTTAGTTGTACTCATCATCATCATGATTATCATCATCATCATCATTATCATCATCATCATCATCATCATCATCATTATCACCATCAGTATTATTGCGTTCTCTTCGTCATTGACTAGTCATAAGAATTTGCTTGCAAAAGCAAAACAAAACACAATTACTCTCTTTTGCGCTCTCTTCCAAAAGTAAAGTGAAGATGCTGCTGTCATTGTTTTAGTTATAAAGGCATCGGGATAATGTTGTTGTTAAACGAATTATGCTTTACTTGTGTGTTTTCTATCTCTTGCATTTGTTGCTTTGTGTTTTTTTATTTTTTTTTTTATTTCTTTCTTTCAAATACAATTGTGATTGCGATTTTGCCACAAGATGAGCGTGCAAATGCAAAAAGCTTGCATGCATATAAACGCATGCTTGCCTGTAAGTACAATCGGTTTTTTTTTTTTTTACCCCAAAGAATGGTCGGAACGGATCGTCTGGTTTGAAGGTAACAAACTAACTTTACATGCAAGCATAATATAAAATATTTACAAAATGTCTTTTGAGCTTTCAGTTAATAAGCTGCTATTGCTGTTATTGCTGTTATTGCCGTCAGAAGAAGAAGATTATAATAACGTTTAAGATAAATGATAATGATGATGATGATGATGTTGATCATAATGATGATGATGATAATTTTGTTGCTATTGATGTTATAAATATATATATATATACATGTTGTTGTTGTTATTCTGCTATTATTGCTTTTTGGGCCGCATCTTTTTCTATGTTTTTTTATCTATTTTGCTTGTAGATGAAGAAAAATAAAAAAAATTTTTTTTGCTTTGCACAAAATCACCTAAAGTTAGCTGACGTTTTTACCAAATGAAACATTCAAACGTGAAGAACGAAAGTGTACGGACGTCTCAAGTGTTTTTTTTGTCCATCATTTTATTCGCGGTTTCAATTGTTTTTTTTTTTTTTTGGTTTTTTTAATTTTCCTGATCGACAACAACAACAATTCATTATTAATAAAAGTGATGGGAATAAATTTTTAAGAAAAAGAAAAAATAAATAAATAAATAAAAATTATGAAAAAGTATGAAAAAATTAGTTAAATTAAAATATGTTAAAATATTATTCAAGCAAAAAGCATAAAAAGATTTTTGTATTTTGTTGTTTTTTTTTTTTTTTTGCACAAATAAGCACAAGAAAAAGTAATTATTTGGAAGAAAAGAGTTTAAATGTCAATCTCTGTAACGGAGTGAACACTAATTTAATTTATTGCATTATATAAAACATCACTTTACGTATTTAATATGTATTGAGTGAATGAATGAATTAATGTGAAATATTTTATAAGAAAAATTGTAAAAATTTCTTACATGTAACAAACGAGTAGAGTCACAGCTATATCGGTCCTAGTGGTGATGAGTGCTTGAAAATTTGTCACCAACTCGAACCAGCTCCCATCAATTTTCCTGTTAAAGGTGAACATGGAGGTAATCGAAGCAAATCGACTTTTAGATCGAGAGTCTCTAATAAATATTCGACTGACTAATATCGAGCATGATCGATATATACATAGCTAACTGTTTTTGTTTTTTTTTTCAATTGCAATTCTCAAGTGAACTCACACTCATACACTCGGACTTGACTAATCGCCTCAGAAACCGATTGATATAATCACTTATGAAGATTCTTCTGCTTAACAAATGATTTACGATTATTCAAATTGGACTAATCGTGATTGCTGGCTGACCTCCCGGGTTATGACAGCACCCAAATTTATATTGAAAGAATGAAAAGTTTTGAATCAAGCAATTTGACGAAGCAATTTGCGTTCGATTACTGGGATGAATGCTCTCTGGGTATAGATAGCCCTTCGGGGATTCTCGTAGTAGCTATGTTTACCTTGATGTTTCGTGGGGCATTAAACAATGAGGTGGCAGTGGTAGACAGGCCACGATGCTAATCAAATAGCAGGACTATTACTCACATCCATTCTCGTTTTATGACAGTTCAGGAATAATAGGACCCATTTCAATGGGGATTATCCCACTCCTTTAGGAGTATGGGTTATCGCTTACCAAATTAACTCGTGTCCCGTCGAGCCATTCACAATACGTAGTAACATTAAGCACTCCTCGACTCTCTACTGATCATAAGATTTCAAGTGATAATGGCGTTAGACGCGATTTAGCGACAACGGCAACTTGAAATATTCTTTACTAGATTTTATTTTTCTTTCATTTATTAATTTTTTTATTTTTCTCATGTTATTGTTGTAAAGAACTTTTTATATTCAAATTTCACGTACAAGATTTTACAATTGTTGGTTAAACGGTATTTTTGTAATGCTTATCAAAATGGCTGTGTGAGAAATTCCAAAGCGACATTTCACAACATCTTAAAGCGTTACGCAAGAATTTTTTTAACAATCACAAAGTCAAGACTTTGTCTTCTTCATAAGAGTTCAAGTATTTGTAAAGCTATTTTTGGGGTTAAATAAATTTTCTCATTTTCATGAGAATGAATTGATTTAAGATAAAGAAAGGGCGATTTTTTTTTTTTTTTTTGTTATATATATTTAAAAAAAATTTACTTGAACGCGCACACTTTTACATGTATGTACATGTGTTTAACAAAAATATATATGAACCGTTGAAAAGTGTAGGACCGATTAGGGTTAGAATATGTTATGTTGACTTTTTACCAGCCACACACAACCAACACAGCCAAAAGGCCAGCCAGTCAGGCAATCGTCCGTATACGGCATTTACAAACGTACACTAACAACTTATTCGAATCTCACCGGAAGTAATACAACAAACACAATCACATCGATCATCATCGAACACTAGGATGAGTGTACGATTCTGGAAGATTGTCTAGTGTTGAAGTCATTTTTATATTAAAAACGATGTAGCTGGAGGTAGTAGCACTCAGTTTCGAGGCAATATTAGGAATATGAAAAAAGTGAAATAGTTTCTCATTTTTCCAAATAAAAATTGAACTCAATAAACGATTATCGAAAAGAAGAAACAAAATCCTTTTTATGCTTATAATTTAAAAAAGAAATTATTTCATTTGAAAAAAGTATATAAAAATTGTGTTTGAATTTAAAGTTTTTAAGGAAAATATTTTTTTAACTTTTTTCATCAAAACATGATTGAATAAAAAGTAATAAACTTAATCAATAACTTTTCATAAAACTAACCTATGAATGTTTATAAAATAAAATAAACGGAAAAGTTCGTGTTCGTATAATTTTTTTTTTTTTTTTTTTTTTTGAAATAATTATATAAAATTTTTTTTAAAATTCAAAAATCACTTAAAAATTTTTGTACACAAAAAGAACACAAGAAACTCATCAAACTACTTGCATCAATTACAACAATAGAGTCTTAATAGCAGAAAACACGGAAAATCAAGCAGAGGCCACGAAACCACACAATTGCCTATAAAGTAAACTTGGAAGAAAAAAAAAAAAAAAACAAAAAAAATTATAATATTGTTGCCTTGTTGTTTCATATAACTATAGTCAACATGCGGCTTTTTCAAAGTAAGTATAATAACAATAATATTAGTAATAATAAAATAATCATAAAAAAAAAAAAAAAAATTAAAAAATAATAATTATAATAAGAATAATATTCTTATAATATAAATAATAATAATCATCATAATAATAACAATAATTATAATAATAATAACGATAATAATAATAATAGAATAATAATAAGACTAACGATAATAATAATAATAATAATAATAACAATGATTATAATAATAATAGAATAATAATAAGACTAATAATAATAATAATGATAATAACAATAATAGAATAACAATAATAATACAAATGGAATAATAATAATGACGAATAAATAGTGATAGTAAAAAAAGGGTAATAAGCAATGAAGAAAATAGAAGCAAAAATCGGAAGACTGTCTTTGGAATATTTCTGTAAAGTTTGGCGAGCTTTTGAAGTGAATTCTAAGCCTAACAACGTTCGAAACAATATAAATCACGGATAATGAGTATATTTATTTATCTGGATTTAAAGGCTGCCTAATAACTTAGATCATATGCTCGCCTGTACTGAAGATCTTATAGTAGAATAAGTCGCGGATTTGAAGACGCGATCATTGAATTGTTAGTCGCGGTTGATAGTGAGTAATGAACGCGCCTTTTTTTTTTTTTTTGAATTGTCTCTAGACTACGGATCCATTTACTTACCAACTGACTTTAATTATCGAAATGTACAAATACAGATGAGATGGCTCGGTTAAGTTCTTTATATGCATTTATTTGGCTTACATGTATCTTCATTCTTAGTTAATATATTGTTTTAAAAATGTGCGTAAAAAAATAGTTTTATTCATTTTATCACTTCATTTTATTTATTTTAACATGTTTTTATTTATTTATATTTTTTTTTGTTGCTATTAAATTTAAATTTTATGGTCATTTAACTTGTTTTTTGTTTATTTACTTCGAGTTTTTATGCATTTTTTTATACATTTTTGCTTAATTCACAGTGTGTCGGTGCTAATGTTAACAAGCGTTTTTATTCTTTCTGTTGTTGTTGTTGTTGTTGTTGTTATTATTTACATTTACGTTCACAAACAATTGCATTAAAACGTTTTTCTAACCTTTCACATAAATACATTTAATACGAATCGGTTTTTTTTTATCTGCTCGCAATGGTTTCGCTCAAATTTCAAATCATTTAATTCTTCTTCTATTGCTTGCCGCTTACTTGTTCGTCTCTCACTGTGTAAACTGTATAAGCTATGTTATCTGACGTAAATGTCATGTCCATAAGCATCGAGTCTCCATAATTTGTTTACAAAAAAAAAAAATAAATAAAAAAAAAGCATTTTATTGAAACAGAACTTAAACCAAGGTTAACACATAGGTATCATCGTTTAAAAAAGGAAAAAAAAAAATAACAAAAAGAAAAACAAAATGCTATAAATAAATAAACAAAGCATATAACTGCTATATTTATGTTATGAGAAATGAATTGATAAAAAATAATTTTTTTTTTTTTTTAAATAAGTAAGAAAATTGTAATTATAATATTAACAAATACTTGCAACAAACACAAATAAATTTTTATAATTATTTTATTAGGTAACATTAACCAAAATATTTTGAGATTTTTTCGTGTACTCTTTTTTTTTGTTTTTTTAATTTTCGGAAAATGATTTTAGTATTGTCAATCTTTCAATGAATTTTATGTTACCATTACGTGTACGTTGCAAAAAATATATTGAGTTGGAGATAAAAGTGCTTGGGGCTAACGTCCGACAAACACCCTGAAAAGCAGACGGACGGACAAACATACGGATAGGCATGCAAACAAACGGAGGGACAGATGGACGGACCGACAACCATACATGAAGATAGACGGACGAACGGACAGACAGATAGGCGAATAGGCAGACAGAGGCATAAACGCATACGGCGACGGGGGAACTGGCAGACACATAGGCTTATTTGAGGAATACGCTTTCAGGTCGCTGCAAGTTGAAATCACACCACGTAACCTACCAGCAATTGAGAATTAAGGAAGAGAAGCGCCACACGAAAGAGGCGACATCTGAATCACGATAAATATTAGTAAGGATCAATAATTCATAAGGATCCAACTCTGAGGTAATGCGAAAGCGGTGCTGGGATATATATTCACTCCTGTATAAAGCCATAGGACAGACAGACGGATAGGCTGACACACAAGCAGACGCATAAATAAATGGATGCACTAATCGTCACACAATCCTCCTGCTGAGTATTAAATATCCCTGAATATACGCTACAGAGGGTATGCAAAGAAGAATAACATTCTACACTGTTTCAAAACAAGGCACAAGTTTTGTCTTATGTTTTGCGAAAACTCATAGAAATGGTTCATCGAAGACCTGCCGTTAGGATACGAACTCCAGCTTTCCTGGCTTATCCCTGGAAATCCACATAGAAATGTGTCAATCTGCTCGATTTTCTATATACTAGATTTTAGCCGGCCGAAGCGACGATAGTGTAAAAAAGAAATTAGAGGGGAGTACTTCGTTGTTACCTTAGGCGGAATACTTAATATGGCTTCAGGCAATTTTTCTTCTATTTGTACAGAGGCATCTAATTGACAAAAATTTGTGAGAATTTCAGTTTATTATATTAACTATATTATTTATTTATTGTCTATGGTATGATCTCCTGGCTTGAAAAATCTACCGCAACCTACCTTACCTTTACCTATGCGGCTATTCATGTTGCAATGCAATGACTTAAAATATAATGACTGATGACTTCATTACACAATAAATAGTTCGTAGCTTATTAATTGCTCCCTCTCTCTCTCTCTCTCTCTCTCTCTCTCTCTCTCTCTCTCTCTCTCTCT